CAGTTTGGCAAAATATAGACATAGGGACCTGATAGTGGTGCCAAATTCCCAGCAGCTGAAGTAGGTGTTTGGAATCATAAATGAGCAGACTTGTTCAAATCACAGTCAGATGCCTAAGCTCGAGAGAGCAGGGAGCTCAGACATGCTGCTGTAAATGAGTCACTTGCCCAGCTTCCTTCTCGAAGCCAGTGTTCCCGGTTTCTAGCCAGCTTATTTTTCATGGGGCAAACTTGTCCCAACAGGAAAAAAAAAGAAAAAGAAAACAAGTGTGCAAAATAACATCTAAACAGAGCAATAAGCCAAAACCCGTGATCTTTTCTCAGACCCTAAGGGGACAACTCTTAGCCTGGAAGGCTCAAGGGTGATTTGGCAGCAGCCTATAAGCACATAAGGGGTGTGCATCAGGAACTGGGGTGCCCTGGTCTGTTCACCAGAGCACCCCAAGGGAAGACAAGATGTAATGGTCACAAACTGCTGGAAGGCCATTTTAGACTAGACATAAGGAAAAACTTCTTTACCATCCAAGTCTCCAGAGTCTGGAATAGACTCCCCCCAGAAGTGGTGCAAGCACCTACTCTGGATACCTTTAAGAAACACCTGGATGCTTATCTTGCTGGGGTGACCTGACCCCAGCTGACTTCCTCCCCCTTGGGCAGGGGCCTGGACCCGAAGATGTTGCAAGGTCCCTTCCTGCTCTAATGTCTATGAAATGTATGAAACCCAGATTCTGTGTTTCTCCCTAGCATCACAGCCTTCCCTCTCTTCCCTTTGCACTCTGCTCCTGCCCTTTGAGACGCAACAAGAGGCACGTGTGGGAACAAGAAAATGTTCCCTGCGCTGCAAATTTGCAGCACGGGGGCAAAATTAGACCCCTGGATATCTAGGGGTAAAAAAAATACCACAGCAGAAAAAAGCAGGGCAGGGCACGGTCCCAGACTGTGCCCTAAGACAACCAGAGGCTGGGTCCAACACAGAGATGAACTGGAAGCAGCCAGAGTGTCTCTATGGCTGGCCCTCGCACTGGTGCTGAAGCACACTGCTTGCCCATGCAGGGCAGACAGTGCGTCAGCTGCAGAGAACTGGACCTGGGCTCCAGTGCCAGTAAGTAGGGGGTGGGAGGGTGCCCCCCTATTTTCTGCCCCTCCGGGCCCCAGGATCCTGGCAATTAAAAGACAAACAAACAAAAAAACCCCGCACTCACTGGCAGTAGCAGCTGTCATTGGGGTCACTGGGGCCCCACTGCACAGAGGGGCTGGGTGACAGCCGCAGCTGCCCCAGCCCAGGCCCTGCTGTCCCATGCTACATGGGGGGGGCTGTGCCAGGAGGCCCCGGAGCCCCCACAGCCCCTGCTACTGCCAGAGGGAGAGGCTTATTTTTTCAGGTTTTTTTCCTTTTTTTTCTTTGAAGTGATGGTGTCTGGGGTGAGGTGGGGCAGCCACAGGGGCCTGCGGGGGCAAGTGGGGGATGGGGCCC